CACAGCTCCTGAATCTCAGAGGGAAGGCTGGAGTGGGTGGGTGGGACTAGCTCAGCCGGGGGCAAACTACGGCGCGCGGGCTGGATCCGGCCCGTTTGAAATGAATAAAACTAAAAATAAAAAAGACCGTATCCTTTTATGTAATGATGTTTACTTTGAATTTATATTAGTTCACACAAACACTCCATCCATGCTTTTGTTCCGGCCCTCCGGTCCAGTTTAAGAACCCATTGTGGCCCTCGAGTCCAAAAGTTTGCCCACCCCTGGGTTAGAGTGTCAGCCAGCCGACTGGAGGGTCTCAGGTTCCATTCAAGATCAAGGGCACTTACCTGGGTTGCAGGTTCGATTCCCAGCCTAGGTGTGTGCGGGAGGCAACCAATCACCGTGTCTTTCTCACATTGATCTCTCTCTCTCTCTCTCTCCCCCCCCACACACACCCCTTGCTTCCACTCTCTCAAAAAAAATAAATAAACGAAGAAAGAAAAAAGATGATGCTAGCTTTCCTTTTGTTTCTCACGGATGTGGGCAGCATGGTGTTCAGCGATCAGTAGCCTGAGTCCAGAGTCTTGCCCGGGCTGGTGAAAGGCAGCCCCCACGGGGCATCCATCACTGGGCTCCCTCTAGCAGGCTGCCTGACCTCTGCCACCAGGTGTGCCCTCGTCATGCAGATCACATGGTATCCGGTGAAGTACCTTCACCATGCCTGGGTCATAGAGGACTCTATAAACCTTAACACGTGAGCCTCGAGGCAAGTCATCACAATGTTACAATGACTGTCGCTTAGTTTATATGTGATACGTGCGCCACTCCTGCATCTGTTTTAGACCTGCCGGCAGGTGCAGTGGCTCCACCCAGAGGGAGGCTGTCATACTTTTCCCCGTCCCTCTCCCCCACCCTCCCTTCCCATACAGCTGCTGGGACCAGGCAGCCGCCCCAAGGGCAGCTGGTCCACGGCCTGGCCATGCGGACTCTGAGGGCTCACATTCACTCAGCAGAAATCTGAACTCGGAAATAAAGTAGCTAAAGCACCTACACGGAGGGATGTGACAAAGGGCTTCATGGGAAAAAGCCCAGTTCAGTCCAGGCCAGGAGGGGTGCTGCTGTTCTTCCTTTGCCCCTCCAAATCCTGGCCAGTCTCTGCCTTGACACTGCCCAGGAGACTGGGCACCTTGCTCGGGAGAGAGATGAGGTCTTTTTGTGCCCTGGCTCCCGCCCATCTGGTTGTGACTGGCAGTGGTTCATTCTTCTCAGAAGGGCTCAGCCCCTCAGGGCAACTCCCCAGGAAAGCCAAGCCCCCTCCCCGTTCCCTGACTCCCTGCCTCAGCCTGTGGCGTCCGGGTGACGCCCAGCGTGCTCCCAGCCTTCATCCGGTTCCCTTAGCCTGGCCCCACCTTTGACAGGAGTCTCTTCCTAATTGGGTCGGGACTCTTTCTGATCTGCACCCTGAATGATAAAGGGGTCCTGGCAAACTAAAGCAGAAACCCAGAGTAAGTAGGTATCAGAAGGAAGAAGAAAAGGGGTGCATGTGTTTGTGTACACGTGTGTGTGTGTACATGCACATGTGTGTGCCTGCATGGAAACAGAAACATGGGAAATCTGCCTCAATTCCTGACAGGTTTTCAATTAAAGTTGCATTTCCACATGCATATTTATAATATTTATTCCTTTCTTTGTTTTCTATTAAAATATTAGCTTCTTGTTTTTGTCTAGTCTCTTACACTAATCTTTGCCATCACCTCTCAGAGGCAGGCTCTTTCTGCCATTTTGTGGTTGGGGTTTTGCTGATGGTTACCCCATAACCAGATGATCACTTATGTCTAATTACCTGATTTACTCATTGGAGATGCTATCTGCTGGCCTCACCAGCTGAAAGATGAGGTTTAGCTCAGTCTACTTGACCTCACTCTCTTCCTAATGATTTCGGTTCACTAATTTTAAAATAATTTAATTGAGTGCCCATTGTAACTATAAAAATATACTTATATGTCTGTATGGCCTATCAAATATGGACAGTATCTCTTCATTTCCATAAAATATGGACTTGGTACCTCTTCCCATCCCCCACATCCTCTCTCCCCTTTCATGTTCATACTGTCATTAACTACACCTGTCAGTAATATTTACATCCTTTCCTGAATCCACAGCCAGGCTTCCTATGGCTTTTTATCAGTTGACGTTGAGAAGTTAACTACTATAAAAAGTGTTTAGATTTCTATGTCTACATCACATTGCTCAGGGTTGAGTCGGATTGTCTGGTGGAGTTCCATCCTCCTGCCTGGTGTGACTTGATCCTAGAGGGGTCCCGTGTGTGAGGGGCACATGCCAGCATCATGGTCAGATGGCATCTATTGTCTGATAGCTCGTCAGCTCTGATGCTAATCACATGCCATGTTACAGCTGTTTCATGTGCTGCCGTGACTTTCCTGTGCCGCTCTCGGTGCTTTCCTGGAAGGTTCTTGTTGCCTTTCTCATTTCTTCCCTGGCGCAATGAGCCTTCCCCTGGTTTCTCAATCGCTTTCTTTCAGAAGATGATCCTTTCTTCCCAAGGATCCCCTCCTGGAGCCTTTGTACCTGCTCCTCGATTCACCATTTTTAAAATAATTTAATTGAATGCCCATAGTGTCTATAAAAATATCCTTATGCATCCGGATGGCCTTCTATCAAGTATGGATAGTATCTCTTCATCACGTGTTCCTAACCTTTGTCGTCTTCTTTCTTGGTTTCCTTTATTTTTCTAGACTATATCTGTAAATCCCTTGCTAAGAAAGGGCTTTCTGAGTCCTTGCTCATCTGGAATCTTCTGCCCTTCTGCTGGCTGCTGGCTTTCAGGCTGGCGTGTAGGCTGGAGTGATTTCCCAGGAGCTGGGGGGCGCCCCCTTCTGGCATTCTGCATTGCTGGAATGAGGTTGCAAGTAGATTGGATTCTTTTCCTTCGTAGGTGACAACCTTTTGTCTATTGACAGTTTGATATTTTCTCTCTGAAAATGGCTTTATAAGGGTGTAGCTAGATTTGGGTCTTTTCTCCTTTATTAGCTGGATACTCGGTGGGTCTTTTAAATCCAGAGCCACATACCTCTCGGCTGGAAAAGTCTCGGATTCACACCTGTATTCGTTTTCTCCCTCCTAACTTTATGTTTAGTCCTATTTAATTTCTAATTTTAGCATTCATATTGTTTAAATCTGAGAGCATTCTTATTTTCTGTGCTTTTTGCATTGCACTTTATTCCTTAAGGATGTACTATACTGACAGGCACAGAGTAAGAAAAATGGTCCCCACACTCCACACCCCGCCCCCCGAGCCGAGGCACAGGAGGCCTGAGGATAACACCTGTCCTTCTGTCCAGTCGGTGGAAATGGACGCTTAGAAGACAGCTTCGGAGGTTGGAAATCTGAGGGGGAGGGAAGGGATCTCTCTTCCTGCTCTCTAAGTGTGACAACTTCATGTGGAACCCGTTCCATGCTAGTGCAACACCCTTACACGCTCTCCTATGCTTTTCTGATACCCAAGGACCCGCCTTGCCAAGATGCACAAAACCCATGGAGATGAGGCCCAGACACTGAGAGCACTGAGGTCCTGAGGGTGTAGGGGGCCTGCCTCTATCCACTCGAGCAAAACAAATGCTGACACTATTTTCACTTTTCTCCTTGTTTTCTTAAAAGTCAAAGTCCTCTTCGGATTTCGTTCTGTTTGTGAAAACAGGTACTAATGTAGGTCTTTTGTAGAAGTGAAGTGGTGTAGCATGAACTTTTGAAAGGTGGGGAATATAGACATATACTGGTATACATACGCGGGCACACACCTGCGCATATATGCATACACATGCACACAGGCACATACGTACACACACATGTACAAACATGTGCACACATATAACGCCAGCAGAACTTGCTGTTTCTTTTCCAGCCCAATGGCAGGGCATTTGGCGGACTCTGTAGCTGTTACTGTTGCTTCAGGGAACGAGGGGCTCTGACCTGGACTTTTCTATCCTGGCGCAGAAGGACATCCTGGTGCACGGATTGCTGGGAACAGGGTGACTCTGCCACTGCCCGCAACAGTGTCATCTGTATTTTTGATACAAACTCTCAAAGAGATGGTATATTTCAATTTCAATAACTTTATTGGCAATGAGGAAATATGCAGGGACTGCC